CGGCTTAACGAGCAAATTCATAATTTCAACGGTACGGCGAAATAGCCCCCAATTTCGTATCTAGATAAAGTCATTTGCAAGAGCTATTCCTGTAGAAAATAATAATACATTTAAGGTTTAAGTAAAACACAATAATATAATTTATTAAGTCACATAATTCAAGTAACACAATTCTTACACATCCAATAAATAAATACTTATAATTAATTTAAATAATACACTTTAACGGTTTAAAACGCGATATATAAGTTAAACTTATTTGAAAATGATTTTTAACTTCGGCCCGACGTTTCGGATGCTTTGCAGCAGCCGTGGTCACGGGGAGACAACTAATATATCGCGTTTTAAACAGTTAAAGTGTTTTATTTAAATGTGTACTACTCGCGTAAACTATAGACCATTAAAAATTTTTATTATTCAAATAAATGTATGAAAGAATGATTCTTCATTAAATTATCTAAAATCTTCGCGTCAGTATATGTTAAGGTAAACTTGCAAGAACATCGTAACAGCTTCGTCTATAAAGATGAAGAAGATGTTTGCAAAACAAGTTCGGATGCCCAAAATAACTATTATACACGGACGAAATCGCTGGCATAGCTAGTATTATATAAGATGAGAATCAATTTGAACTTGTTAGATACATTTAACAAGTGCTACGATGTAGCACAGCGTAGCGCTTCGTAGCAATCTGTAGAATTTCGTAGCACAAGAAAAGGAGTCAATATCTTTTTTAGGGTTAAGTAACCAAAGGAAAAAGTACCGTACTAATAAGACTTTGCTATCTACTAGCTAAAATATACTTTAAAAATATCACGTTTTAAACCGTTTAAAGTGTTTTATTCAAATGTACACAATTTATAAAAAAATAAGAATGTCGCTATACCAGTATGGACTTAAAACAGATTTAAAAATATATATCTTTGCTATCTATTATTTTATTTTATTTACTTCTGTACAAAGTCAAATAGTGAAGAACCTATCGTTCGACAAACCTACTCTAAGTTGGCCTTTTTTAAACATCTCCAGTATTATAATTGTTAATTTCGCGTTGAAAAGACTGCCTTTAAAATGAGTGCAAAAACCAACGAAGCGAAGCACTCAAAAATATTTAATTAAGCACTTAGATTTAAATTGTAAATCTAGTTCTGGCTTGCTTCCAGATTGTCAATATTACATAACGGTCTGGAAATACTACGCTTTGGTATCTGGCATTTTACAATCAAAACGAACCACTACTAAGTGTACGATCATACTTTTTCGTTGATGGAAGGTGGATCTATTTTGGCTTTGGACTTTTAATCCACAGACTGTAACCGAAACGCGACGAAATTTCATGGTGATTCGTTCAAGGGAATTTCGCTATTACCCACATCCAATTAATGTCCAGGTTTTCTAAAAGTCCAAATATCCACATACAGAGGTCGATAAAACCAAAACGGCAAATGGTTTTATTAATAGTATTTTTAGCCGTACGTAAATATAAGCAGACAATGGTCATTTAAATAAAACGGGTTAAAACAAGAATATAAATATATTAGGTTACTTATAATTATTATTTCATTTAAATACAATCACGGTGAGATTGAAGATTGAAGTGTGCTAAATGTCTAAATTAAAAATAATATAGTTCACGTTTGAAACCGTTAAAAGTCTTTGATTTAAATGTGTACTACTCGCAAACAGTACAGACTATACTTAAAGTTATTTTTTAAAAAACGCGAAGAATCTTTACAAATAATATTAACTACGGCCTGACGTTTCCCCGTGACCACCCACGGCTGCAAACTATCTAAAACGTCGGGTCGTAGTTAAAATAATTTGTAAATAAGTTTAAATAACATATTTCACCGTTAGAGAGTTATATTTAAATGTGTACTACTGGCGTACACTACAGACAGTATTTTTATATCTCAGTAAATTCTCATGTGGTAGGTATACAATAACAGAAAAATTTATTGATTTTCAAACGGAAATAGAATGACCTCATGGCTAAGTGTTAGCTTGCACCTGATTTAAATCAAGTTCTGTATAAGATATTTTAAATTGAAACGGAATGAGGATGTATTTATTTAATACTACTTTCGGCTCGCGATTTCGTCTGCCCGAAAAATTACTTTCAATATTCTTAAAACTTTTTCAGTAATAAAGATTGTAGATACATAACTTCTTTATCTATAAATAGTTGTAATTAAAATATACATATTTTTTTAGATTTATATCTTACAATGTTTAGATAAAACACTTTAACAGTTTAAAACGCGGTATATTAGCTAAACTTATATGAAAATTATTTTTAACTTCGGCCCGATGTTTAAATAAGTTTAACTAATATATCGCGTTTTAAACCGTTAAAGTGTTTTATTTAAATGTGTACTACTCGCGTAAACTATAGACAGTATTTAACTTTACGTGGTTTAATGTTTCAACTCTTTAATTTTTTTTCAAAGGTTTTAAAGTCAATGTCAAAAATAACTTATTCTCGTAGGTAACTTTACTACCGGTTCTCGATTCAAGGACGTAGAACGAAGGAGAAGAACTGGCAGTGAACTCTCCTTTCTTCGCCGGCAATACGCGAGTAGTTAATATACATATTATTTCTTTCACACCCAATAATTTACATTCTTTTTAGTTTAATATATAAGCGATACTTCTCGAATGGTGAAGAAATTGATAGTAGGGGTAAGCACTAAGCATACTATACTATAAATATTAAAGAGAGAACCGGATTTATATCAAAATATACGTCTTGTCAATAGAAATGCAGAAGGAATTTTTAGTTTAACCAGAACGCGAATAGATGCTTCAATATTGATATAACTGACGCGAAGGCAAGAATATTTATGAGACAGATTTTTTGAAATATTCTGAGAAAATGGTAAGTAGAGCACTATTGCTGGAACTGAGAGATAAGTTATTTATTTTTAAAAATATAATTTACATGGAAAACAATTTAAATATAACACTTTAACGGTTTAAAACGTGACATATTAGTTAAACTTATTTGAAAATGATTTTTAACTTCGGCCCGACGTTTCCCAGTGACCACGGCTGCTGCAAAGCATCCGAAACGTCGGGCCGAAGTTAAAAATCATGTTCAAATAAGTTTAACTAATATATCGCGTTTTAAACCGTTAAAGTGTTTTATTTAAAAGTGTACTACTCGCGTAAACTATAGACAGTATGGAAAACGATTTCAACTATTCTGAAAACCGCACGATAGTTAAAATATATACTAATAAAGATAAAAAGTTTGTTTGTTTGAATGCGCAATCTGAGGAACTAGTGGTTCGAATTGAATTATTTTTTTTTGTGTTAGAGCATTTATCGATAAACGCAATAGGCTATAAAACATCGCGCTGCGAGTAATAGGAGCGAAAAAGCAGCAGGAAAACCGGGAAAATAATTCATTCTTGTGAGTTTCCGTTGCGAACGCTTCAAGATATCCAAAAATATGTATGGAAGAATTAATCCTCTATACTAAAAAGAAATGCCCAACCCAGTATATGTCTATCGTTTAAGATTAACTTGCAAGGACGACTTTTTTGTATCTTTCTAGATATACTTACTATGTAACTTTTACATATACATGTATAAGATATATTATTATATATAATACTAAAGAGTTGTAAAACTTTATTAAAAAAAGATTAACACATTAAAGTGTTAATTAAATACTGTCTATAGTATACGCGAGTGGTACACATTTAAATAAAACACTTTAACGCTTAAATAAGCGATATATTAGTTAAACTTATTAAATTAAATGATATTAAAATATATTAAAATTATTATTAAAATGATTTTAACTTCGTCGTCTCCCCGTAGCCACGGCCGCTGCAAAGCATCCGAAACGTCGAAAGTTATTATATCGCGTTTTAAACCGTTAAAGTGTTTTATTTAAACATCAAAGTGTTATATCTAAAGAGCACAATAATTACTACGTAAAAGAGAAAAATGTATTTTTTAAAACCACCACAGCTGTGGTAAACATATGTTCGAAAATTTCGCACAAATAATACAAGGTTTCAGGATCAAAAGATTTACCGTTGAAAAAAAAGGAACGAGGATTCATGAATATTAAAATCAATTTTAGATCTCGTTCGTTCATTCATTCGTATCACGTTCCTACAATACGTGTTCCGTTGGATGTTGAGAGAAGTGAATGAAATCATTCTCTGCTTAAATGTGAGCGTCTTTTGATGTTAGGCAATCGTGTTCCTTAATACCACGTTTTGTTTCTTTTATTGTACCAGATGCTATTTTATACAAAACACTTTTAACGGTTTTAAACGTGAAATTTATAATTTCGCTTGCTTACAGTTTATTTTAACTATGGCCTGACATTTTTCAGCAACCGTGCTCAGGTATTAAATTTCTTATTTACAGACAGTAATGTTTTTTTTTTTAGATAGCGAAGTACAGACTGACAAGGGAATCTTAAAATAGAAGACGAAATACCTCAATCATATAACATTTAAACAAGATGCACTATTAAACAATTTTAGCGCTGAACATTCGGGATCGACATTTCAACCGTTAAAAGTGTTTTATTTAAAAACTAATCATGTCGGTTATAAGATCTGGCAAGTCGGTTATAAGTCGAAAATGTTTAAGAAAATTATAAAATGTGTGGACCCAGTGGGGTAACATATCATGTTACCGTTACACGAACGATCCTGTCAGAAGACGTTTTTTTAAACTCATTTGATGTACAAAGCATCATACAATGGACTTCGAGCGTCAGAGAAAGACGGACAAACACTTTCCTACTTAATGGACAAATGATAAATCAAGAATATACTATAAATTGAAAAAACATTACGACACGAGCACGACTCAAACCGCATCCACAGCGTGCTGTCGCTTCAACCAATTAAGCTACCGTGTCCTACACGTCGTTGTCGATTTTTCCAACTTATTTATATAATGCCATCACATTTACATATTACAGTTTTCAAAAAAGGCCTAATGACCACAACCTTTTGTTTCAGGTTAAAATGAAAGTGCGTGAAATAGTGTTGGTGTCGATATTATGTATCGGTCTGGCGGCCATTTTGTTCGCGATCGCTGCGTACCTGTACATAAGGAGTAGGAGACGGAAGCGAGAAGATGATGAAGAGGGCACCAGCTGTGCTATCAGGTACCTATGTTTAATATTTGTAACAGAGAAATAAACATAAGGCCAAGTAACCTTAACTGTAAATTCTGTAAATAAAAAATCTTAAACAATTTAAAAAAAGATGGAGATGCCTGTACAATTCAATTGAAATACTATTTTTCATTAACTGAGTATTTATAGCAAAAAAAAACCTACAAGCAATTTTTACATCCCTACTGATTTAAAAAAAATAGATATAACACTGTTAACGGGTTAAGATTAGAAGTAAAGCCGTTAAATGTGCTTTAATTAACAACTTAGTTATAGTAATTGAATACATTTTTAAGATGAAAAACTTTACATTACATAAACAAAAGGTTTAATTCATATTTTCTATATTAGCAAATGTTTTTATTTAATCTTCAGTTACAAATATTAACTTTTCTACGAAGAATACAGCAAAACGTAACAATAGTTCGATATTTTCAAAACAGAAAATAAAATATAAGGGATATTGTTCGAGCAAACAGTTCCTGAGACGCGAAGTCGAAAGACGATGTTTATGACGACATAAAACTGTTTTCCTTTAGACTCGGCTTATCTGTGGATTTTTCTATTATGTACAGAGTGGTTACTTCAACGAATATTAAAATATATTGAATTTACAATGCTCTTTCTAGAACATTCCTTTTTTTCCAGTAAGTACTTTACGAACGGATAAAGATATCTACTCTAATTATTCAGTTTATAATATGTCCTGTCTGTATTTTTTAAGATCTTATAATCGATTTTTAATTTACATCTGTGTGAATTTAAAATAATCTACACTACCTGTATTCAATGTGTATAATTAGAAAGAGATGCAACGTCATTACGGTAGTCTAGTCGCTAAATTCCGTTTAATGTTTTTGTTCAAGATCCCATCTGAAAGTTTTTTCTGTAATTGTCAGCAGAGTTTGCTTAACTCCTTTTAATGAGCTTAAGACCCAAAACATGTTTTTGTGTCTTTTGTTACGGAGATTAGGCTGCGGTCATAACGCTAAAGGTCTTGCGATCGTAAACCTACTTAGTTTGTAGAACGGCATTGTCTACACGGTTGACATATCTTCTTTTATCTAGGATATATTGAAAGGTCAAATAAAACCATTTAACGGTTTAAAACGCGTTATATATTAGTTCAATAATTGATTATTCAAACTACGGTCCGACGTTTTGGATGCTCTGCAGCAGTGACAAGGAGGTCCCCCGTGACCACGATATTCAAATAAATTTTACCCATAAATTTCGCGTTTTAAACCCTTAAAGTGTGTTATTTAATGTGTAAGTTACTCGCGTAAACTACAGACAGTATTATATTGAAGTTTTTTTTTAATTAAATGTGTTTTACTATTTAATATTGTTTATTACTGTTCCATTGATTTAGTAGTCTATTTTAAAATTGTGACTGTTAAATAAAACATTTTTAACGCAATAAAACGCGAAATATATTAGTTTACTCATTAGTTAGTGATCACAGAGGGGAACCCCTGTGATCACAAATGCTGTAATACGTCCGGAATGTCGGTTCATAGCTAAAAGAAAATAAACAACATATTTGTGTATTTTCCTCATTTTAAACCATTAAAAGTCGTTCTATTCGAGTAAACTACACTTCTTTTTTTAATGTAGGCAACGTTAGCTCTAATAATTAATATTTATTATTCATTAAAACAGTTCTGTATGAATCCAACCATTGTTCCGGCTTGAAGGACCATACCTTTTTTGATGATATTTTAAATTTCAAAAAGATAACGTCAATAGTCATGAAATTAACAGATAGTACAGACAGTCACAATTATTATCTCGCAGGAAGAAGTTGGAGAAGCTGAAAGTTTCTGTCTGTTTATTTCAAACTTTCTTAAGCTACCGAAGGTAAACCGCAGATAAAGTCCAACTATCGTTAAGTAGGAAATTAATATAAGAACATTGTTTAAGTAGTAAAGTATTAAACTGACACAATCTACCACAGAGTTATTAAAATATTATATGCATTTAATATATGTAAACGATGTTACTTTTGGGGCATAAGACTATTTATATCCCTGTTTTACTAATTGGTTGGTGAGACTTCTGTGAACTTGAACCGAATGTCAATTTTTAACTCACGTTTCGAACCCAAAACCTTTCGCATAAAACAGAGAGCTTATCAGTGTATTTTTAAATATTTAGTCAAAAAGATGGTAGCAAGTAGTTATTTGTAGTATAGGACAATTTACTGAGCCCACATTTTTCACCCCAAAGCCGACGTTTGAAATTTCATGTTTGAAATTTTATAGGTTTAAAAGGAATTATATTAGTTACCTTATGCGTTTTAAACTGTTAAATGTGTTTCATTTAAACGTGTACAACTCGCCTAAACTGTAGACATTATGTCAATCGTAAAATAAAACTTAATTAACAGTTTAAAACGCGAAATATATTATTAACTCGCGTCTAAAATGGTCTAAAATGGTGTTTTACTTAAAGGTACATACAACTTGCCTAGAATACTTAAAATATGAATAAGTCTTTTAACGGTTTAAAACGCGAAGTATTTTAGTTAACATTTTAGAAGGCGAAAGTTGTTAACTAGTTAAATAATTAGAGCTAAAACCGTTAAAAAAGTTACATGAAAAATCACATTACAATATAACTATTATAAGATGGAAGACAAACCTATTTTATGTATAGCTTAGCCTTAAAAATGAATGCTATACTTTTATGTTCTTCAAAACGCAAATGACCAACTACCACTGTTATAAATAGCTGTAATTATTAAGGATCTACTTACCCTAAACGATGTCATTATCTTCAGTAAAATAAACAAAATTTATCATCGTACCCCAACCGCTCCACAATATTACTTTTCAAGATTAATTTTTGTACCAACGTTGGTTAGGCGAATTATTAACCGATTCGATTAAAAAGTATTATGTTCGCGTCATTGTTACGACTAATTGTTTCCAATTTGACGAAACAGATGGCGCTAACGTAATAGTTTTGAATTTGAAATTAGTCTGAGCGAAGAGGTTGGTCTAATGATAGCTATGCTATGGCTAACAATCAACGGGAGTTCAATCTCTGCTAGGTCTCTGTTTAAATACATGTTAGACTTCGTCTTGAGTCGATTTCCGAATATCCAATGCCAGAATAGGTGAATAGTTGAGATGCTATATGGCTTGGAGCCCCATGTTTGTCTGTCTATTATGAAAAGACGTTTTATTCTTACTTTCTCTCCAGACAAGAGAAATAGACACGATTAAGCGATCATGACGTTAATAAATTAGATACGCCACGACACCAGCTTTCAAGAAATGGGTCATGTAGATTTTTAGTTTTAAAACCGTTAAAAACAGCTACATCACCACTACGATGATCGGTTATGTAGTATTGATTTTTGATGATAGAAGAAAACAGTGAAGTACCTCAGCAATATAACATCTCGGCAAGATGCGCGGTCGACCTATTTTGGCTTTGGAAACGCGATTAAACTTCACGGCTTTTTCATCTGTGGACACCGTCCATAATATTAGCGACAAAAGAAAACAAAAGAAGATCTGACTTTCAAGTCTCCCCTCCCCTGCCCTTTCTTACGTAGAATGTTAAAATGAGATGCAATTATGACCCATCAAAGCAGATTTGTCGGGCCCTATTGAATATGTATGCGGATGCGCGGCGAGAACATTTAGCCTGATAAACACGGGAAAACATTTTGAATGGAAAATCTAGATCTTTCTAACCTAACTATGTTCTAACCAATTTTGATAATTCTTTTTTTAGAAATAGGATGCTCCTATATTTCTTCTTTACAATTATACGCCGCTAGAAGCAGAGTAGTAAATCGTTGACACAATTCTTACACAAATTCATTTTCGCCAAAGTTAATTGCGCTTTCGTTATTAAAAATCATTTTTTTTGTTATTAGGCCACTCTGCCTTCAGCTTCATGTATCTATTCAACTAAGTCAAAATATTTAAATAAAACACTTTAACGGTTTCGGATGCTTTGCAGCAGCCGTGGTCACGGGGAGACCACGGCTGCTGCAAAGCATCCGAAACGTCGGGCCGAAGTTAAAAATCATTTTCAAATAAGTTTAACTAATATATCGCGTTTTAAACCGTTAAAGTGTTTTATTTAAATGTGTACTACTCGCGTAAACTATAGACAGTATTTAAGTCAAAATATGTATAATAATTGTGCTAAGTAAATTTGCTGTTGACATACTAAGTATTGTCTATAGTTGACGCGATTAGTACAATGCCAGTGTAATTAAAGCCGCGAAATACATTAGGTAAGGTATGTTTAATTTGTATTAACTGTCGCTTGACGAAAGCATACGAAGCGTAGGGTCGTAGTTACAATAAATTAAATATAAGTTAACTAATATCACTTGCATGTTAAACCGTTAAAGATGTTTTATTTTTAATGTAATGAACATAATTAGTGTAAAAGCCGTTCTTAAATTTTGCAAATCGACTAATGAGCGCATGTGAAATAGTATTAGACCAAACGCTCTACAAAAAAGGTATTCTAGTAATCTGACAGTCACATTTATGTGTCTGTCAAGTAATAAGTTTCTTTCTACTCGCGTTGCCTAGACGAGATCGCTTATAGCGATAAGGCCGCGGGGTGAACTCTGAGGTAGCATTAAAATTGTATAGTGTATCTGTATGTTCTGTTTTTGTGTATCTAAGTGTGAAATAAATAAATAATTAAAAGTAAGATCAGACGACGTACACCACCGAAATACGTTATACAATTTAAAACGCGGAAATGTATTATTTAAACTTTACAAATAATAACTATGGCCTGATGTTTTAGATGCTTTGCAGCAGCCAAACCAAAGACTTTTTAAACCGTAAGTTACCCCAATAAACAGCATACCGGAAAACGCGAAGACACCGTTAGTCAATTCTGTAAGGACCAGGCCAGTTTCGCCAAATACCAACTTCGACGGAACAGATAGCGCTAGCGTAGCAATTTTTTACTTTGACGTCAGAGACATCCTCCATCTTTAGTCTCCC